TGCAATACCTTTTATTTAGCTTTATGCACTAGAAGTGTTCACAATACTGAAACCTACCAGCCTGCAGTGAGGGAAAGATACATATTGTACCGTTTCTTTGAACACCAAAGACATTTCTTTAGGCCTTGATTTTAAGAGTAGGTGAATCCATATAAAATATATATCTTTATTTGTACAGATTTAAAGAAAATTTTTGCAGTGTGGCTGTGTTTTTCTTCAACAATGTAGGTCTTCTATCCTATTTGGCATTCACACAAGTGCAGTTATATACAGGGGTTAATGAATATCCAGTTCACTGGTGGTACCCCAGGGAGCTGCATTTTATTGTAGTGATGGAACTTCAACAGATATCTCACTTACCTGTCAATCTGGAGGTGTAAGACTGAGGATTTCTGTATTCTCACTTCACTCATGCAAGTACTGCCTTTAAAATAAATTGTTTCTGGCAGTGGTCAACTGGTATTTCTGAATGACCTAGTTCCCTCCTGATGGATGATTCCTAAAACCACTTAATTCAAAGGCAGTGATCCTTACTTCTTTAAAATCACTTTGACAAAAAAAAAGAATACCAAATTCAGTGTTGTGTTTATCTGGCCAGATCTTCTGTGCTGGCTCAGAAATACCATACTTTTAAGAGAAAAGTAATTTTTGACACATCCAATGAAGTAAGGGTTAGTGCCTCTCATGGGGGAAAAAATATCAAATAGGCAACTTCAAAGAGTCATCCCACCACCTTGTTCTTTGCCCATTTTTGCTTTAGAAATCTTGGCCTTAGCCTGTCCTTTCAACTGCCAGCATGGGGAGGCAACCGGGAACCTTGCAAAAGGGCCAAATTCAGTCTGGTTCGGCCACCTTTTCCTTTCTCTTCTTTAAGCAAAAACCTTTCTGAACACATCAGAGGGACAGGCCCTTTTTTTCCTCAGACATTCGAGTGTATCTCTACATCATTTCCTCTGCTGGAATAGTGCCATCACATTTCCTTTTTGGGAAGAGTTTTCTCAGTGTGCAAAGGCCCTGCCAGTGTGCAGCCCCCAGTGAGGGATGTGCTGATGGCTGTACTGTTTGAAGAACAACGCGACTGCAGTCTTGTCCGCAGCCATAACCTGCTGCACGGGTGCCCCCAGCACCCTGTAGGATCACAGGGAGCCTTCATGAAGTGAAAATGCTCCCTGAATCCTGCTTATCTAGCAAGAAGATTTGCAAAGAAGGAGCCCTCTGCCCCCTCATCTTGCACAGACGGTCTGACTCACTGGACTCAGGATTCCCATCTGCATGTCTCTTTGAAAGATGGGTGCAAGCCAAGGAGTTTGTCTATTCTTAGCTTTATCTGTTATAAAGATAGTTTTCCCCATAAAAATCTACTTTTGTTCAGCCACCTCAGAGAACACCTGTCTCTAAGCAAGCACAGCAGCCATAGCAGTGTGAATCCTGTTCCCTGCTCATTTTAATGAGGTGTTAATATCAGAACCTGCTAGAGATTATGTAAGTGCTAATATTGCTAAGCAAAACCACAAAAGAAACAAAAATAAACGGAATTCAAATAATTTGAACCCTGTCGCCATGCAGTGCCAGCTACAGGAATGTGAACTGCACTTTGAGGCAGAAAAATCTTCTTATGTCTGTGCACCAGAAGTGACACCCCTTGCTTGCCAGCTTCTCCGACCAGCATCTTCCCACTCTCTCCCCTGCTGCCTGAGGACATGGCGTGTCCTAGCTGACGTGATCCATAAAACTATGCCGCTCTCCCATTTTCTGCAGCCCTGCAGCCCTCCCGCTTGCACTCCTGATTCCTGCAGGAGATTGGCACCTTGACAGCAAAGCAGCAGCAGAGAGGAAAGCCAGAGGGGGCAGTGTATATTAAAAAAAAACAACCGCACAGCCTCTTAAACCGTCTGGAACAAAATTGTGCAATAACTGGCTTGTGCACCCATGTGATCTTATCACTCCGAGCCAGGGTTTTCAGGGGGAACTGAAAGGAGTGAAACACCCACTAGATTCTGCTTCAGATCATCTGAAAAGCTCGGCTGTTTCCTTCATCCTTCTCTCTTCACATTTTACATTTGCTCATCGTGGTATTTCTCCCTGGGAGCTCCTGGGAGGCCAGGCTCATTGCCAGATCTGTTTGTACACAGTCCCAGGGTAGGTTTGGATTGCTGGCCAGTTTCCCTTGTGTCCTGGCTTTCCCTGCAGCTTGGAGCTGAGGCAGCCCTGGTCATACCTCCAGCAAAAGGCTGGTATGGTCAGGCAGGGTCAATCAAGTGTGGGGTGGCATTGGCCCCGGCTGTAAATGGCTCTGCAAGCTGCCACCCTAACAAGGATAGGGGTGTGGGGAGGACCCTGAAAGGCGGTGTCTTGGGATAGACAAGACGTGAAGACTGAAAGGCCTGAAGAGAATGAGGAAAGAGAAATCTTCCTTACTAAACAATTAAGACAAAAAAATAAGAGTCTCTAAAAGTAGGAAGAAATCATAGCAAAGCATACCAGTGTGTTGGGTGGGTCCTGTGCTGAGTTTATAAAGAACATTCAGGGTCATTGAGTTTCTGGTCTCTTGGCTGTCCATGACAAATACCTGAGCCTTTTTCTTTCCCACAGATGTACCTTGCAGATTATCCCATCTGAGCCTTTTTCTTTCCCACCAATGTATCTTGCAGTTTATCCCGCCTTCAGATGGGATCATACAGGGTTTCACTATGGGCATGACTGTGTGTGCTGCTCACATGTGCTTCTTGTGGAAGCTATGATCAGCCAGGGATGCAGGGAGACATGAGTGACACAGGGAGCAGAAGGCTGGGGCACTGGGATAGCAACTCCAAAGCAAAGCACTTGACTCCTCTGATAGTCAGTGGAGAGAAATCAACAAGTCCAGAACCTGATTCCTCTCATCCTCATCCATATGTCTCAAGGAGATCAGGCAAAATGCCTTTTAAGTGCCTGTTTCTCTCTGACTACAAAGGGAGCCCAGCTGCCTAACTGAGGCAAGAGACATGGAAAGCACTGAAGCCAGGTGATGTCAATCCCCTCACATCTCTAGAAATGAGGGCATTTGTAAACAAGGGCTGGATATATGGCATTAATCTGTGGAGACAACTATGTGTGGAGACATGAGAAAGTATGATTCTCAAGGTGATATAAACAATACCCTTGATCATACAGTCAGATAGCTGTAACACCATACCGCCATTTAGTACTTAAAACTGGATAAAATACCTGAGTGACCTTAAATAATCACCAGGATAATGCCCAGATCTAGTTTGGGACCAGACTTATCCCAGGGCTGCCAAGCCCCACATTGGCAGAACGTGTGACACTGGGCCTCATCTAGAAGTCACGGATGTGCCACAATTTATTTTTTTTTCTTTTTAGTACAAACTGCCCTTGATTAGTCATCGACCTGGTTTAGAAGTTGCACCGCTACCACTCAAGCTGTGAGAGGAGAACATATTTAAATATAATAGGCTCTGCGATCATTTTAAAACTGCCCTAGATCTAAGCCCACGGGGGGCTATAACTAATTTGATAGAAACTGTAGCTTCTAAATAGAACCACCTGAGACCTCTCAGGAGTTCGGCTACAGGGTTCACTGTTCTAGCACAAAGTCTCAGCTGAGCTCCCCTGACTGCTTCACAGCCCTTCTCAGCAAACTGAGGCTGATCTGGAGGGGAGCAGCAGGACAGATTTTGCTGGTGGGTAACCTTCCCCATGGGAATTATGAAGCAGAACATGGGAGGAAGGAATTATGGTTTCAACTCCCAAAACCATTGAAAGGCTGCATTTTTGCACAGTTTTGAGTCAAACCCATATGTGACTCCACAGTTTTGGCTGTGTTTTGCCTTGGGTTTTTTCCAGCTAACTGCAATAGTCACTGATCCTAAAGGTAGGAGTAAGTAAAGTCACCGTATGTTTTAAACCTTCCATACTGGAATGTTTTGTGCAGTATGCAAGTTCCGTTTTTAATGTCAGAAGCACTTCCCACCTGAGCTTTTCACTTCTTCAGCATTGACTAAGTACCTCTGCAAACTCAGGACTAAATATCTGCCTTTTACCAGCAAGCATGACACTGTCAAGCAAATAGGTGTGTGTATCTAGTGGATTTGCTTGCATTAGCAGGTACTACCTTTCTGCATTAGCTGGTATTCCAGTAGCCTCCAGACCAGAACATCATAGGTGCAGGCTCTATATAAATAGAGGACAAAATTTTAGCTGATGGTGGGTAGCACTTGGGTGCTACTGAACTAAAAGCATCAGCCTTCAGACAGTACCACAGCTGAGATTTCCTTGCCTATCTCTGATGTATGCTGAAGTGGAAATCAGCCATCGCCCCAGGGTCTTTTTTCAAATTTCGTTTCTTTCAGTTTTCATGTCTTTTCTCTCCAAATAAGGTTTTAATGGAAGCATTGAGTGAGAGTGTTATAGCTGCTGTATTTGCCTCCAAAATCACTGTCCCACTTCTATAATGTAGTATACATGCCATGAAATCATGATAAAAGGAACAGTAAAGCAAGTGTTAGTGGTACTGAGTTCTAGGATCATCGTTATTCATTGCAGACAATACTACAACATGTCAACTGAATCCAGTGCTACACAGCTGACCAAATATTCCAGTGTAGGTAAGGCTCACCTGTAAAAATGTAATAAATATCAAGCTCAACTTATTTGCTAACTTTCTTGCATCAAATGAAAGCAGACGTTCCTAAAATGTTTATTGTTTTATGCCTCCCCCACACCAGCACAATCAGTATTGCAGAGTCTGCGATATTCATAATGAACTCCACATTCCCCTAGATCCACTCATTAGAACTGTATTGTGCCCTTCTTGCCTGGGGCACAGGAATAATGTTCAAATCTTGAATGTGCAAAGGGAGTCTTTCCCCCAGGATGTGAGCAAGGGAGGGACATGGCTCACTTTGCATGCAGACAGGGTTAATTTTTCCTTCTTCCTGCATTCTTTCACACAGCCATCCCTAGGGGAAGTGTCATATTACCTCACCTCTCATTCCTAGGTTTCTAAATTGGACCTGGATTTGAATTTCCCTGGCACTAGAAATGACTCTCATTCAGTGTTCTGGTTTGGATCCATCTTACAATGGTAGGTGGGACCTTCACACAAAGGGAGTTTGATTTGCTTATGTTCCAGCCCATCTCGTTTTGCACGAATCCTGGTGTTTAGTCTCCCCCCTTTTGTGCAGCTGTGGAAGATTCTGGGACGAATCACTGCTGTAAAGAGGAAATAAAGATTGCATTCCCATGGGAGAATTCTTGAAGACTGAAAGACAGGGTGGTTAGCACTGCAGCCTTGTCCTGGCTTGCCTACACATGAAAGTTATTCCAGAATAAGCTAGGAGTTGAATGTAAAGTAGGATAGGCATTCCACAACTCATGCATGTGTTACTGAGATCTCAGCAAAAGCAATGGGTCAAGGTAGCTGGATGTTGACTCATTGGGACTTCCCTGTGTCTTCTTTAGCTGTGTCCAACAGAAAGAAACAGGCAAAGATTTTGAGGACTTTGTATGCAGTATAATATATACAAACGCAGAAGTAAACTATTACAGTCTAGTCAGAATTAAATAAAGAATTATTATTTTCCTGACTTCAAAACACTGAAACAATGAGATATCTCTAGGACTTCTTTTCTTCACCTTTCATATCCTTGGCTCAGAGTAGAATAAGAGAGCGAAGCAAAGATGCATGAAAAGGTGGCTTCATTTTGTTCCTCCTGGGTCCCACACCAAAGATAGCTCAGTCCTGACTGTGTCCCCTTCAGCTGCACCATGCCTGGCTCCAGCACAGCGGCCGGGAAGCTCACGGGTGCTCTTCACCACCTGAAAGGCACACTGTGATGCAGGTTAAGTTCAAAGGAGTCGATTCCCAGTCCAGAAACATCTACTCCATTTTCCACACCAGCACAGATGCAATCTAAAGACAAAAGCTGCCTGACACCAGTTTAGCCAGATCTCACTCAAGTATTCTACGTTACCCCTAAGCACCCAGGGATACATGTTCCCCCTGTGTAAACATAAAGCCAGCCCCCTCACAGCAATGTGGTAGACATTGCACAGGTGTGTGTTAGGGGGGAACTTGTATTTGCTCTTTGAATGCTCTTTTCCCCAGCTACCTCTGCTCACAGTTTGCCGGAAAAATTCCATATACTTCTGTAGGGAGAGGGCAACACCAGTCATACATCATGAGGCAGAGCAAAGCAAGAGGAAGAAGCATCCCTCTAGCGTTTTAACTTATTTTCTCTGTGTGCATGACAGCGATCCAAAACCAGCTGTTTTACTTCCTGCTCCCGTATATACGAGGAGTTGCAAAGCAGAGGTCCTCACACACATGTCTAGGCCGTTTAAACAAACAAGGCACACGCTTTTCTCTGCTCCCCAGAGGCCTCTGACCCCTGGAGTCCATCATTCCTCATCACCAGCTCCTTCCCGACTCCACTAAAAAAAACCCTGGGGCTCCTCGCCTCGCTCAGCCCCGCTGTGCCAATCTGCTCAGTGCCTTTCTCCTGTCAGAAACAGGATGGTTGTCACCTTCTCCCCCTCCAGGAGTTTCTTCCCTTGCCAGGAAGGGCCACTCCGGTCACTGGCCTGGCCTGCCATGTCCTGGTGCCCACGGGCGCTGCCCTAAAATGGCGGAGGGGTGGTAATACCAACCAGGCCTCGCCCTCAGGGCCAGCACTGACTGAAACTGTGCTTCGAGGCTCCGATTACCAAGTAACCCAATCAATCAGCACCCGACTGAGGTGCTAATTAGGGCTCCCTGAGCCCTCTCCTGACTGCAGGCTCTCGGCTCCAGGGGGTGGCCCAGTGAGGGCGGCAATGTTGCCAGGCCAGTGCAGGTGAAAATCCTCCATTTTGTTCGGCTTCACAAATAACCAGCGTTTTGTGTTCACCTGATGAAATAAAGATCTGTAAGGTCAGTGGCTGGTCTGGATCGAGAGCTTGTTGACCCTCCAGCTGAAGTGGAAAACCAGCAAGGAAACAGACTGTGGGAGCCAAGCATCAGGACAAAAGGTGTTGGGTTTTATTTGGGAAGATAGTCTGATTTTGACTGAGTCAAATGTAGATAAAGCTTGAAAAGTCTTTTGGATGTGAAAAACCAAAGGTTTCATTTTTAATATGCTGGAATAAAATGTTTTCAGGAGGGTGACTGCTGACGTGAACACAATTCAGTGCATTCAGCATAGACTTAAATCTTTAACATCTTCTCCTCCCCTCAAGGTGTTGGACTGCAAACTCCCCAGATAGTGAAATAGAAATACTTTATGCACCCCAAATTTGTGAAATATTTCCCTTGGATTTAAAAGGATGCACTGCTTTGTCTTCTCTAGAACATGATCAGAGACTAATGAACAAAAATTACTTTAACAGTGGCTTAAAGACTTTTTTTTTTTTTTTTCCTGAGAAGTTGTAGGCTATGTCTTTATTGTGAAAAAAAAATGTATTTTAATGTAGCTATAAAGTGCAAGTTGAAACAGGCTTTCCTACTGTTCTGCCACAAACTGACTGATGGAGTAGGGTTTGGGTCCAATTTTTAGAGGGTCTTTGCAAAAAAGCACTTAAGCATTATTTTGAGCTTCCATGGAGAAATCTGGGAAACTGCATTATAGTACCTGGGTCTCATTGTGTGAAACATCTCCAACTGTGAGCAATAAAGTAAAAAATGTATTTGAACAGACATAACATCTTTGGAGGGGTATGAAAGAAAAGCACAATAAATCACATCAATTTGGTAAATCTGAACAATACTCCCCAACACCTTTCACTCAGTACGTTGGCAGTAGTCCTGACATTTTCTCCTCTAGCTGGGAGTGCGTCTGCAGTGAGCAGCTCCTACCCTCTCCTCTCCCTGCCTTCCATAGTACTTTTCCCCCATCTCAGAGGAATGCAGTCAGGGAACATGCTGATGTCTTGCTCCTGTTTTCTGCAGCAAGGATATAATTCTTTAGTCAAAGACATCAATTCTACAGAGGTAAAGCTTCAAAACCAGACATACACGCAGCAGTCCAGTGAAGAGTTACCATCTGCCTTCCTCTCTCCTCCTCCTCCTTCTCAAAGGAAGGAAGAAAGAAATTTATCAGGGTCTTAGCTCTTCATTACCTGCTTGCACTGACATTCATGAGATTCCCTGCAGGATTTTTCTTGCTACCCAGGCAGGATGAACACCCACAAAAATTGGCAAGGAGATGACTTTTAACTCATTTTCAGAAGCTGGCTCTATTTCAAGTAGACAGTGTCTCTCTGGTATCAAACCAGGAAGAATTTGGTTTTGCTTTCCTCTGAAAAATAGAAAAGGCAAGTAGCCATCCTACTGGTTGCCTTGAATACTAACAGAAATATGATGTTTCAAGGATTGAAAGGAATACAATTTCACCTGTCAGAGTCTAAGTTACATATTTGCCTGGTAATATCTTTTAGCTGAGCATCCTAAAAACCTAAAGTAGAATTTGCTTTCTAAAGCATAGTCTGCTCCCCTACCACTCCTCTAGAGACTCAGGCACTATTGCCTACAGCAGGGAACACTCAAATGTCAAATTCAGAGCCCAGTCATTGTGTCAGGAGAGTGCTGTTACTGCTACACCAGCCGTTAGTGTGCAATATTACACACCCAAATGCTATTTGTACACTGGGAAAATATGAGTCTTGGTACAGAAGCAAAAAAGTAATTTTGTCAGGATAGTTTTTTTAGACTGATAAAAGTTAAACTAGCTCCCTAAGGAAAAAACAAACAAACAAACAAAAACAACAAACCACAAAACAAAAAACCCCAAACAAATTTCTTTAGCCCATGTACCTTGAGTAAGGAAATTTACTCTCTTGGCAGAACTATACAAGGCTTCACAAGGTTTGAGATAGACTTGACAGATGACTGAGAGTTTAACAGAAACACGAAGAAGCAGTGGGTAAGAAAGGACCATTGTAGAAGTCTGAGAAGAGTTACTCAGCATAGGAAGGCACATGTATTCTCAGGCAGCATTAATCTTAATAAGCTTTAATTTAAGTCAATTTACTCTCTGGGCACTACCAAGAAGTGTTATCCCTAACAGGTTATCCCTAAATAGTTCCCTATCTCAGAACAGTTACTTCTGGGCTTTGAGTTACAACTCAGCTGATTTGAGCCTCTCAGGGCAGTGAGGTTCTGTGATTGCACATAGGAAGTGGTATGTTTGAGAGACAACAACCAAGCTCTGCTTGAGCCACATGGAAAAAGACAAACTTGCTGCATAGTTCATACGCAGCAGATAGGGACAGTGTTTCTTTTGTATGGCCTCTATTGCAAGCTCAGCACTGTGAGGAACTAGCACCCAACAGAATTGCATGACTGAGGCTTTTATCACTTACTGGAAGTCTTCCACAGCCTGAAGAAATGGTTGCAGTTTATTGCATCAATAAGAGTGTAATTTACATTAGAAAGTAAGAGTACAGTGTTTACTCCAGGAAATTATTGCCATAGCTTGATGCCACTTATTACCTTGAAGGTGAAGAGCAATATCATTACCTTGTAGTCATTAGCAATAATTATGAACAGCTCATCAACCTTAATACCTCCTGTGGCAGACAGGGAAATTTTGACTGCAATCTCTACTGTCTACAAGTATAGAAAGCAAGCAAACTCCTGAAAATTGGCAACAGTGGGACGGATGACACTTTCATGTTGCCACAAATATATGCTTTTGATGCAGTGCAGGAGTCTGTTATCTTCCACCACTTTGTCTTGATCAAGATTTCTCATTGGTCAAGCATGAGATTTTTACTTATCATAGGAACTTACATGCTTTCTTTCACCTATGCTTTACAAAACTATTATAAGAAATATGGATGTATTCTGTTTGTTGGCTTTATTATGTTCCTCCAGTGCTACATCAGGTATGGAGTCTTGCTCCACGTTAACTTCAGATGGATCAACTTGTGTTGAACTTGCTTAGGTCTAGATGGTCCTGCCACAGCATCTGGCTAATCTTTCCTCCAGATTCAAGAAGGATTCAAGATAAATTTGCTGTTCTGATTTACCACCACTCCTGGCCTGGACATAGTCTAGGAGCAAGAAGAGACTCTTTCTGTTTCATTCACATGTAATAAAGAGTCTGACCCAAATTCCAAATCCACATACTCCAGTCATTGTAAATGTTTGCATTTTGAGCCTATGCTACAGAAGTTTTGCTAATAACTATACACACAAATCCCCTGCTGGCTGGAGAGAAACATTTTATACATTTTATATGGAGAAACATAGCAATGGAGACCTGTTGCTGATACAGTTAAACCACCTCCCTAAAAAATTCAAGCTATCTAGGCAAAAGGTTCTTTTGTCTGCATGTGTTGTGTCTGCTTTGGCTGTGGGTTCCAGGAGAGGTGCTGGCAAATCTTTGTCAGTGAGAATATAGTTTTTCCTTCTCCTGAGCCAGTGGGGCTGTGCCAGGAAAACTTGGTATCCAGGACCTGCCTAGCATGATTCCAGTCCACTTCCATCTCTCTCTGAGCAGACTTTACAACGAATGATGTGCAATATCTCACTTCAGGCAACTCACCAAGTCTCCCTCCCCAGATAGCTGTAGCCGCTAGGAAAACAGTATCCCTCAAATTAGACACCTGCTTTAAAGAACAGTGTGCCTCACAGTAACAGACATGATAAATGCTATGAGTAATGACAGATCCATGTGCTAACAGTACTCTCTATCAGCCACCTACTGGCTCATTTCTTCTTTTGATAAAGGCTTTTCTCCTCTGGTTATGTATGAAATGCATACTTCTCGTGTGAAGGTGGATCTCTCTGCAGAAGCAGTGGGAGCAGAAGGCAGAAGTTCTTGAGTTCCAACTGCCGCTGTGACACAGACTCAGTGCTGATCAAACAACTGGGACTCTTCGCCTCAGTTTCCCCACTGGTAACATGAATAATGTCTATGTTGTAATCATGCTGCAAGGCGTAGTTAATATTTGCTCGGTGGTGCTTTGGAGATGCCAAGCATCAGATAATCCCAGGAGATACCAGTATCGTCAGTAAATCAATTGTATCTACAAAGCGAACAAAAGCAGGCACAGATGCTAGCATAATGTTATGTATTTTGGTACAAAACGAAATAAAAATCTCGCCTTCTGTCCTCAGATTTCTTGTCAAACATTCACTGCTTCACATGCTGAAGCAGTTAGTAATACAAAGCATGTTTCTATCCTACTTTATTTCACATAAAAAAGTGAAGAACCATGATTGAATCTTAATACAAAAAAAGGGCTTAAGTTACATTCTCCTGGGATCATCTATAGCAAAGCTTAATAAGTTTCTCAATATCTGACCTAATTATATCTGTCCTTCTAAGTTTTGTTTCCCATAAGAGCTAAATGTCTATGGTTAAAAATAACATCTGAAACTCCTCCAAGTTCCAGCAGAACTTTTTCAGCCTCTCTCAAATTTATTATCTATTTTTAATTTGTTTTAATTTTTCACCCAACCTTAAAAGCTAGGATTCTGAGGCTGGCATTCTGCTCTATTATCCAGCTCCTAAAAAATGTTTGGGTTGGATAAATTTGAAATCTGGAGGAAAAAAAAAATATATTATGTGTGTTTATTTCATGTTGGAAAAATACCATAGCTATCGAAACAAGTGGCAGAGAAGCATGGGATAGGAAGGATGCCTTTGTGATTGAAAAGGAATTAGCTCTGCTAGAAATATATCTTCTGGGTCAGTGTTGAGGTCCTTGACAGACAAGACCGGGCAATTCTGCGATGGCTGTTTGTATCGTTTCTCCCTACCTGAGCACCCAACTGTGGCAGCAGTCACTGCTGCAGAGCAATGGTGATGGAAGGTGACACAGGCCCCAGTCCCTACAGCCCATCAGTCCTGCTTAGAGCTCCCTGTATCTGTGCAAATGCTGGCAAACTGTGCTACTGTTGAGATCGCAGAATCCTTCATACTCGTCTCTTCCTGCTGGCCCTGTTATTAGAGGGCTGGCACAGACCTGAGGCTGGGATGCCCTGCATCTGGATCCACTTCACACAGCAGTCAGAGATCCCAGTGGCCATTTAAAACCTTTGTGCCTCGGTTTCCCACCCATAACCCATGGATAGCAGCACTGACCTTCCTGACCAGACACCGAGAGGCTGAAGTCCTAACATTTGCCAAGAGCCAGGAAATCAGGTGTAAGCTGTTTAAGAAATACAAGGGATTATTATAACCAGTCACACTCCATTCCCAGGGAGGCTGATAATAAATAATATTTATACAGCACCCTTCATTGTGAAGAGGCCAAGAAGAAAGCAAGTCTGCAAATAGAGATCTAAGCATGATTTCTGGATGGGAAATTCAGCTCAGCCCTTCTCTGTTGAGAAGCTTTTTTGGCCTTGTAGAGGGAAGATTCTGGAGATCAGACTGACTATTTGAGTATCAAGTCTTGTGCACCTGCAGTTCTGCATCCATCACTGCAGACAAGCCATAAAGCCTCGTCCTGGAGCTTTATAAATGGTGCTGCCTGGTCACAAGTGCAGAACTGGCGTGAGCTCCGTTTTCATGGTTCAGTTCACGGGAGGGGGGCGCAAGCTGAACAACAAATGCAGTTTATAATTGCCCAGTCGTTCTGCTTCGAGGGTCTGGGAGACTTAAATGTCACAGTATACAAATGGGAATTGTTGGGAGAAATAGAGCAATGCAAGGCTCAAAGTGATTTCAAAGGCACCCGAGTCCAGTGCTTTCTCTAGTTCATAGTACAGGTTCAAGGCTGGAGCAGATTGCCTAAATTCCCTCAGAAAGAGGCAGCACAGGGCTGGGAGGATGACGCAGCAGCTCCTCAGCGAGTCCTGCAGGGAAGAGGTCTGGTTTTGTTAGATGGGCAGCAGCACAGTTTGGTGGTTACGATAGTCCCGAAGGATGTGTGCATTCTGATCCCCGCAGGCTGAGATGGGCCGAGCTCTCTGGTTTCACTGACCTTGCCTTAACCGTGAGGTTATTCTGCTGTGCAAAACCTGACTGAAAGCTCTGAATCCTAATTTTGCTGAAGCATCTGACTTTTCCCTAAGAGCTCACACGAGGGACATGTTCATACCCTTCCTATGGACTGCCTTAGGACCACGGGCCGCTGTGAGTCCCCAGGTTCACATATAGCCCTCTGCTATGGGGAATTCAAAGAAGAGACAGCCAAAGGCTCCTCAGAAGAGCTGGTGGCACTGAACATTGCCATCCTGAGGACAAGGGGCCACGGCTGGGGTTGCTCCTGCCACAGGAAAGGGGAAGGAAGGGCAGCACTGTGACGGAAAACCAGGCTTGTTACCACTGCCTCTACTGCAGAGATAGGAAGGGTGAAGACAGAAGTGCTGTTGCAGGATGGGGCCCTCCCTTTACCCCTAACAACTGCTGCCCTGGCTCTCTGCGCTCCTCTGCCAGCAGTTGCAGCTGTGAGTCTGGTTTCCCAGGGCTGAAGCATCGTGGTGCTGTGACAGCCTGACGTCCTGTGCCTGTGCTGCCTGTGCCCAGCACTCACCCTGTGTACATTCCGCCGGGGAGCTGTGGGTCTGCATCTGCAACACATCTGCACTCAGTGGCAAAACACCATCCGGTCCCTGCAGAAGGCTTGGCTACTATCCAATATCTAGATGGACTAGAAGGTCACTGTGGGTCCCTTCCAACTGAACTATTCTTCTATTCTATTCTATTCTATTCTATTCTATTCTATTCTATTCTATTCTATTCTATTCTATTCTATTCTATTCTATTCTATTCTATTCTATTCTATTCTATTCTATTCTATTCTATTCTATTCTATTCTATTCTATTCTATTCTATTCTATTCTGTTCTGTTCTGTTCTGTTCTGTTCTGTTCTGTTCTGTTCTGTTCTGTTCTGTTCTGTATCACAGAGGCATCTTACTCTTCCCAGTGATGGGATCTCATACCGCAGGCATTTCGCAAGACATTTAGAGTTAAGGCCTCTCCTCCAAGAAGAGAAACCATCATGGGTAGCTCCAGTTGGCAGCAAGCAGAGTATCCTACATTCATCCCTAGAACAACAGAACCAGCGGGCAAAGGAGGAGAGAAGACAAGAGAGCAGAGCTGGGCTTTACTTACATGGGATTCCAGCTACTTTAGTTGGGCACTGGAATACAGCAGTGGTACCCTGGCTCACCTGTAATGCAAGGAGGGATTTTACATGTAAATTAAATACAGTGTGCTTATGTCCTCCATCTTCTAGCTATTATCCCCTGGATAAGGTGTTCAACCGAGGTTTTTTTTCTTTTACCCATTTTTTGGGGGGGGGGAAAGAGTAATGTAGAAATTAAGGATCCTAGACACTTCTGAAAGTTTAAATAGCCCCAATGTTGGAAAATGGTTCTTTTTTCACTAGGTTGTTTTCTAATAAAAAGATGGTTTGCGAGCACTGAGCACATGACATTCTTTGATGATACACCACAGCTCTACCACAGCCACTTTGGGAAGTGGTAGATGGGAAAACTGCTATTACAGAAAAGCTAGTGTAGATCTATCTTGAAAGAAAAGGTCCACAATTTTACCAACATTAGGCATCCTATTTTGGTAATAAACTGAGAAGAGGACTTTTTTTCTCCCAAAAATATTGACATTTCCAAAAGCAAGTTATTCATAGGTGATGAGACTGATTTACAGCAATAGGTGCACACAAACATTCACTTGATCCTAGAATGTGAGCAGGAATGTCAGAAGCTCATTTCTAAATTGGGCACTTGCACCTGCACGTGTAAGATTCCAAACATAGTAGGTGTTTCTGACTGTTTTCCTATGTCTGATTTTGAGAAATCTGTTCCTTGCTAGATTGAACTCATTACTTTTCAAATATTTTCTTAAATATGAGTTTGCATGTGGTATTCACCCTCGAGTTCTCTGCAGGATCAATTCCGATGTTATGTCCTCAGATGTTATTTATTTTCATTGTTCCATAACAATTTTCTGTCCTCCCTTTCATTTCTATCTGATCTCCCAGTAAACCTTTATAATCTTGATACGCTGTTTTCATAGTTTCTCCAGTAATCTCTTTGAAGGGACTGGACAAGCCAGACCATCCCTCAGATGATGTAAACCATTTCTCTAATGTGGACATTATGTGTGCCAAGAAATTCCAGAATTAGTTTGAGTGTTTCCATACTGCATTCATGTATGTCAGCAGCAGTCACAGGAGCGGTCTGCCCTCGCTGGAGACCGTTCATTCCCAGAGAGGCTATTTTGCACCTCTAGGTCACCACATCTGCCTCTGCCAGTTCCAATAAAGGGCTCCCCATCTCTCACCAGGAAATATCCACCCCCAGCAATCACCTGCCCAAAGCCCATCATGACAGATTCTTTTCAGCATCCTAAGAAACAATTCAGATAGCCAACGCTGATTTATTTTTATGGCTAAATACTGCCCAGCTGCCTCTTTTTAAAGAATGACCTTTTCTTTTTTCTTCTTTTTTGATGTCCAGAGCAAGTTCTGATCACCCAAGCAAGGCCAAAGCGAAGACACTTTAAGCAGAGAAACACAAAAATAAGATCTTCTCCCATGGCAATTTTGGATTTCCAGCAGAGCTGCTCTTCAGTTGCTGCAACAGCCTTTACACAATCGCTGCTCCTTTGCTCCCCCCCCCACCCCCCCCCCCCCTCCCGTAGGGAGATTTCTACCAACTGAGCTCAGCATCCTGCCTGCCTTAAACATAAAGGCTGGGCGCAGACTGAGGGGCTGGTGCAACGTGCAGCCGAGGTGCAGACCCGGGGGCCTCACGGCTGCGTTGCGGGGCTGGCTGGGAGGTCAGAGCCTGCCCACAGCACCCCTTCGCGGTCTGCTGACCCCTGCGGAGAAGAACAGGGGTCCTCTTGTTTCTGACTGCTGCAGGCTTGC